AAGGGTGGAAGGGTGAACAACCCCATGCCCCGGACTCTAGGGGGCCCCCTGCTGATCGTGACTTGTTTTTGTAACTAAGCACATAAATCAAATGTCCACTCCAAACCATTCATATAACAATTAAAATAATATAATATATGTTAAATTTGGCCGATCAATCCACTAGCATGATCCCTCCCTCCCCTCGACTGGTTAATTTAATCATCACACCTGCCCCCATCCTGATTGGTAAGTGTTACTGCTGGTACCCCACACTTTAACATGTTTTTGATGTTCCATCATTTTTAATTTCTTTTGTTTCTCTTTGGGCTCCAAAAAAATAGCTCAAGTGGCCACTTGGGGGCCCCCTACCCATGTTAGCTTAGGGCCCCCAGAGACGTTAGTCTGCCCCTGGCTGAGCCTCTCTCTCCACAGAGACAAATTCTATGGGTAGGGCAACACAGTAGGGCTATTTTAACAGCCTCTGGAAACCCCCCCCCCCCAGAGACCCCACTGGGGAATTCCAGGCTTAGGCTGCCTGCATGATGGTCACATGCCTTCCAAATGTCACTATACGTCCTTAAGGAGAGAAAGCCCATTCAGTTTTGGGTTTCAATCCACTGTTCTCTTTACCAGCTCTGGGTCTTTTACTAATGGATGTTTAATGTCATTAGGATCCATGAGGCTACGTTTGCCTGACGTCAGCGGGCAGCCTGGTGCTTATTAATCATGTGAATAATGCAAGAGGAACGGATCGAGCGATGTGTCGGTGTTTCCGTTCACGAAGACGACTCGCTCTACCATCCACCAGCTGCTCCTTTCTAATCATGGGCTGGTTGGGTTGGGTTTTTTAAGAACAGGATACCTTTATTGTCATCGTACAGTGAAATCCAGTCTCCAGCCACCCTACCTTGGTCTCCTGTGAGACACTCAGATGTACAGTATACCGGTGCGGGGGCAGCCTGGGGGCTGAGCACAGGGTCACTCATTTTTCTAGGATCTCCACAGCAGCTGTTGGAGATAAGGGCTTTTTTGAACAGTGATATTGGTGCTCAGTCAATCATGGGATTCAAACCGGCAACCTTCCAGTCTCCTAACCTATGTGTTTTCCCTGCTGTCAGACTGGAGCGAGCTGAACTGGGGACACTGGAAGGGTCGGCCTCAGTCACACCTCACCGCATCTCTTATTTGATTAGTTCCACAGAAATTACTTTATGGTTTTCTTATATATTTAAATACTTGCTCCACAGTAATTGTATTCATTAAAAATGTCAGCTTGCTGTGACTGAACGGTTTCCTGAACAGTTTCCCGGCAAACATTTATGTGTCAGGTTGTACTGAACCCCCCCCAGCAGCAAAGCACCGCTGGCATCCTAAACCCCAAGAGAAGCTCAGTAAATCCCCATCAGGATGTGCCTCACTGCAGAGGTGAGCTCTTCCTTCCTGTTTTGACCCAGTTGAGCAATTAAAATTCTAACTAGCACCATGTGTGTGTTGGTGGGAATTCATTCCTCCGTCTGTCCATCCATCCATCCATCCATCCATCCATCCATCCATCCATCCATCCATCCATCCATCCCCCTGCTGCTTATCCAGTACTGTGTTGCAGGAGGGGCCTGTAGCCTCTCCCAGGTAACTAAGGACACCAGGGCAAGATGCACATACAGTATAATCATCATTTCTTTTAAGTAAGTAAGTTGTTTGTAATAATTAATTTCGGGAGGTCTTCTGTCCGGCAGTGCTGCCCTACCTAGTGCGAGAGTATATAGTATAACTCATAAATGGTAATAAAAATGATAAAAGTGAAACTACAGAATCATGTACAAAAATGTAAAAAGTCTGTCAAATATGTGAAATGTCTACTGAGTTTAGTCATTGGTATGATATGTGCAGTGCTGGGCTAAGACACAGGGATAAGCAAATGGAGAAAGGCGTGTGTTCAGGTACCCCTTCCCACCTCAGAACACCAACGAGACCCAAGCTGACAGGCAGAAACCATAAAGAATCTGAGCAATATGAAAGAAAACGGCCATCTAGGTTAGTAATATACAGGAGATTATGACTTTTGGTTTCTAATGCAATTTCAGTTATGTTAAAGATTTAAACATGATGTTTTACATACTTTTTAATAAGAAAATTATCGTATATGTTACATATAAATAGCCTGAGAACCTATTTTTTCATGTTAGTTAAAGTTAGTACAATGTTGGTACAGTCTGTATAATTCCAAAATACATCCATTTCAGCATAGCACCTGTTTGTCGTTTCTTCGTGTGAGTAAATGATTACATGAGAAGGTGAAAGAATCAGTGAATAAGGAAATGAGTACTGGTGTTGATGGCAGACTGCAGTCTTAGAAAGAGCTCAGCGCTTGAGACCTTGAACTTTTATTAACATAGCCAGCTATTTGTAAGCAGAACACCTTTAGACACATTTACACAGATGGCACGCTAGGCTAGAGTCCTCCCTGCTATCACATTTAGTTTCTGACTCTTTCCAGTTTCAGTAAAGACTCTCTTTGGCTCGAAGTTCTTCAAAACGGTAGGAGACAAATGAATCAGCGTTAAATGATGCCTCTGTTGTTGTGTGTGGTACTTTGGAAAGCTGAACTACTGATCATGTCACACAGCTTCACACGCGCATACGACGAGACAGAACAGTCCGTGTCAACAGACTGTGAGATTGTGAGATACAATATCAATACCAACAGCCGCAGCTGCAAAATGACACTCACACATCCTGAATTAGGGACACAAACAACCACTCGCAGAGGGTCAAGGCGCCAGTCTGCTGTAAGGATATTCTTTGCTGCAAATGCTAATGACGAGGCAGCCAGCAAGCTGTGCTAAGCTAAGCTAGGCTAAGCTAAGCTAAGCTAGGCTAGGCTAAGCACTTTCAACCATGGACAGTTTTGATAGCTGCTGTTCTTAGACACACTGTGGCTTCCCTTGATATTTAAAGCATTTGCAGTCAAGCGCGAGCATAAATCATGCCTTGCTTTCCGCTTATGTTACACCTGCCACCTAACCCCTTCCCTTGCACCTCATCGGGGCATGCATGCCACAGGGCAGAGGCAGAGCTAGCAGGAATGAGAACATGCCTGGTGCTTTGCCCTTGGGCGGCTCTCTAGGTCGGTTATCGGTTTGTTTTTCACCTGGTTATTATTGTTTGGGAGTCTGAGCCTTCTGGGGAAGGCTGTTTAGCAGCCGGTTCTCGACTTGTCAACAAGGAGCCAGTTGGGCGTGTTTCACTGGCAGTGCCATGTCTGGGTTAACGCTGTACACAGTCTGCAGGCTGTAATTATTCTGTAAATAATTCTTGCTAGTCAGGCCACCCGTGACAAGAAAGTATATAATAAACAGTGACATATAACCCATAAACCAGGAGCAAAGTATGAGTGAGTGTGCAAATCTATCTGTGCAATTAATTCCTACCTGGAGGAAAAATCTTGAAGAGTGTCTGCAGGATGAATCTGGAAACTTTTGTTTTGTCGTCTGGAAGGTGAGGGCCAAGGGCCGGTGCAGCAGCAGTGACTCACGGTGCCGGAGAACGTGTCTGCTGGCCTGCCGGAGGCAGCCGACTGGGTGTGCAGGCTTGTCTTCCTGTTAGGCTCTTAATTACTCACCTGCCTTTCAATTACACACTATTCAAATGACAAATTAATCTGGACTTTCAATTTTATACAGTCATTCCTTTGTGTTGGCCTAATTGAATCCTCCCTCAGGTTGAAAGCAAAAAAACTGGAACATGCTCCTCAAAATAAAGTATTGGTGCTTATGTCAATTATAAATATAAAAATACATTCAAAATATATAAAATTTGAAAATTAACTTCAACACAGGTGCTTTATGCATGTTCTGCTTATATAAAGAAATTGTTTTAGTCAATTGTTGAAAATCTATCAAAATGATAATGTGTCCAGTTTGGTTGGTCTAATGTTAGCTGTTTGCTTAAACCAGCAGGCCTGGTCCAGGCTAATTCCTCAATTGCTGAGGGAGGACAAAAGCCAGCAAAGACTCTGCGGGCCCATGGGGCAGCCTGAGGAATCCCTGGTATCTGCATCCATTCTGGTAGCCAGCAGCTCAAAGGTTACAAGTTGGTGCCATTTCACAATCCCACTGTAGCCTTTTGCAACAGTATCTGAGTCACTTTGGACATTTACAAGCGTTTGAGGATTTGAGGAATGGGAAATGGCATGTTTAATTCGGGGGTGTCATCGTGGGGAACACTGCTGCCTCAGACCTCCACAAACAGGGCTGGCAGTCCCCCCCTTCTCATTGCGTGGAATTTGCACGTTCTCCTTGGGTGCAGTGGAGTTCCCCTGGGTTCTCCGGTTTCCTCCTACTGCAAGGACATGTCGTTTGGTGTATACTAGGGCCGCCATGGCATCGTATACCAGGGCTGGCCAACCCATCAGTTAATCTCTGCGCGTTTCCGGGTCGATCTCGTAAGATGATTAAAGGATATTGAGGCAAGTCATTGGGGGCCAATAATTGGCAAAATATACCACAAGGGATTCCCCCCCGCATGCTAAAGCACCAAAAGGACCTATTCCCGCCAAGCACCCCCCACCCCTCCTTCTTCAGTGGGTGTCAAATTCCTGGGCTGCTTTTCATTGCCAGTCTGGCCCCCGCTGCTCCAGACCCCTGGTGGGCAGGATACATGGTTACCAGACAGAGAGACCTTCGTACTCCTTCTGTTAGCGTCTGCACTACACTGCCACTAAACGTTAACTAATCTTTTGTCATTTATGTGCAATACCTACAGCGGGATACTTACTGGTTATAAGTATGTTATAATACACAGCCGGAACAATGTCTCCCTGGAGATGGTAGAAGTCTTTGGATGAGCTAAAAGTTTACATGCTCTGTTTATTGAAATGGGAATTAAGACTTGGTAGAAACAGAAAATGTGCCAGAGGAAGTGAAAGCTGCAAGATGGACAAACAGAGCCTTCCACACTCGTGCTTTAAAGCGCTACTCCCACAAAAGGAGAAGCAGGAAATGATCTCGCCGTTTTTCAGGGGGCAGAGGGTAGGCGTCAAGAAGTGAAGCTGCATATCAGCAAAAAAAAAAAAAAGTCATAGAACAAATAAACGAGATAAATCAAACGTGGTATTCTCATGCAGAACCTGGAAAGATGTGAGAGTGACAGAATGTCCCCTATTGTTCCAGCGACAATTAAATCATTATTCTTGTGGGGCAGAAAAAGCGATTCTCTCATATACGCCAAACCACAGCTATAGTGACAGGATACAGTGGCGCAGTGGGCTAAGCCTCTGTGGCGGAAGGTCACAGGTTTATGCGCAGCCTTGCTGGAATAGTAACGTCTACAGGTCCTAAAGCGAGACCCATATCTCCCACGTCTGTGTCATGGAAAGCAAGGTGGATTAAGTGGAAAAAGAATTTCCCTCTGGTGATCATTAAAGTTTTATTATGTCAACAAATGGATTTTCATTGAGAGAAAATGATGCTCATTGGAGATTGAGCACAAGTGAGGATGATTGAAGTGTGTAGCCTGCAGTCAGGATTGTACCCTCAGGGCAGTGAGGCCTCAGCAGACCCACTGTGCAATGTGTACCTTTCGGGGTCACCCTAACGTGACTGGCAAAGCACTGCGCTGATCCTGAGCGCCTCTAGGGGGTCACCCTAACGTGACTAGCAAAGCACTGCGCTGATCCTGAGCGCCTCTAGGGGTCACCCTAACATGACTAGCAAAGCACTGCGCTGATCCTGAGCCGCTCTAGGGGTCGCTCTGGGACTGGCAGAGCACTCCCAGATCAGAATGCCCCATTATTCTCACCACCCCATGGCGAATGTTCACTGCATGCCAGAGGAGACATTCACTGGCATGTTCCACTCAAACACTGAGTCTTTACAGCATTCAATTCTTTTGATCATTCCTCATGAGAAATTTAACCGCATTTAAAATTAGATTATGCAAAACATAACCAAAATAAAATAATATTTTTTAAAACTATGCAATGCCACATCAGTGTCTCAGATCCATTTAGAAAAATTTCTTCCTTAAAATTTCTACCAGATACATACCATCCTCAGCCCTCAGCAACTTGGGGAGTTTCCATCACGGACTCCGGGCATGGTACAGGCAGGAAAGGAAGGGGATGATCCACGTGTGGCTCCACAAAAACAGGGGGCTTATTACGGGAACTGAATACACTACAAAACAAACAGACCACGAGGGGTCAAAACTGAACAATGTAAGCGAACAATGTAACTAACAGAACAAAAATGATCTACGAAGGGAAACTAGTTACACAGAAAACAGGCAGGGAAGCAAACATACAACACAGCAACTCAGAATGCCCAACATCAGACAAACACAGTTAATGACGCCACAGGGAACAGAGCAGGATCAGGCACTTAAATATAGAGGGTTAACAAGGAAACACAGGACAGGTGAGAACAATCAAGGGGCTCAGGAACCAGCACACAGGTGAATCTAATAAACTAAACCATGGAACTCAGGAACTAGGAAACAGTGTCCAACACTAGGGAAATAACAAAGACAGGTAAAACACAACCAAGGGCACAAAGCAAAAACCAAAACAGAATGCAAACCCCAAAACTCAGGAACTAGAAAAACTGATACTAAGGAAACAAAATCTACTAAATACAAAAACAGAGGCAGGTGGACTTGAACACACAACTGACAGGTTAGTAGGTGCACACTCAGCCCATAGCACCACACAGCAATCTGAGGAAGCAGGGAAACACATGAAGGACCAGAGCAGAGGGAGAACAGGATGGCCAGCAACACCTGCTGGCCAAACGGGGAGGAGACACGAAAGGCTGGGACAGACGGGTGCTGACCCTGACAGACAGCAGCTATCTCTCTATCAGTCTGTATTTATGGTTATTAATGAAGTCGTATCTGCTCCTGTGTTTCTTGGTCATTGTTGCATGTCTCTAAATGGTGAAGGTGGGGACAAGCCCACTGCTGATCAGGCTTCTGTAGCGCGTGTTCTGCTGAATCTGCCATATGCTGATGTCGGACTCGATGCAGAAGCACAAAAATCAATGCTTTCCATTCATTTAATTCATTTCTTCCATTGCAAATTCACCAAGATCAGCTCTTCCACAGCTTGCGGTCTGCTGAATCTACAATCAATGTGGTTCATTTGTTTAACATTTTTTTTTGCTGCAGTAAATTAGAAATTCCCAGCTTTTATGTTTTTAGGCAAGAGGTAGTGGTGGTTACATAGACAAGGGTCCTAACAGATCTAAGGCTGATAGTTCAGTGCAAAGCAGTGATATTGCATTTTGGTGTGATGTGTGTGAAATGCGATATTTTTAATGAGAAGCAACATAACACGCTGCCTCACGGGACCTCAGAACTAAAGGTTACCACACAGTTCAGCTCAGAGCCTGAAAACATCACCCATTCCAACAGGAATGCCTTGATGCTTTTGTCTTAGTCTGACATGTTGGGCCATCATAAAATCCCATTAGCAATGAAACCCCCAAAGAATACCCCCTCCCCCTCCCCAGGAGCTCAGTCCCCTTTCTGTTGTGCTCCATGACACTCTAAGCAGCCTTCATTATCTTAAGGTCAAATTCTGGTTCATTCACGTCAGCAGGCAGTTCCTCATATATATATATATATATATATATATATATATATATATATATATGTATGTATATATTTGCTCTTGGCAGTTTCTTGAATACATGCAGTGAAATTAATACAGTCAGTTCCTCTATACACGTGACTCATTAATGCACTCATTGCACTCTTTTACTAATAGAAGTGTTCAAACAGCATTCTCACACTGTCAGCTATATACGCGACGCTGGTTTGTGTAATGATACAATGCATACGACGATTTTTCTCCCAACACGGGAATTTTTGGTTCATCTCCTCCATTGTCTTCTTGCTTTATTCTTTAATTTCTGTGTCTTCCCTTTTCCTTGTTTTTGAATTATTCTGTATATATGATGTAGGAATGTATTACAAGACATCCATGTAAAGTGCGTTGGAGCGGCTTTGTTGTGAAAGGTGCTATAATAATGAATTGAACTGAGCGCATTACAATATAATTACACTTGAGACTGTGGACGATCAGTACTAAAAAAAGAACGGTTGACTGACCCCTTGCGGCCGACAGATGAACTGTACTCTCGAACAATACGCGGAAGACACGTAGCTGAGCTAATGGTATGAAGGCGTGCAAGCGTTTTGCATACATTCACTTCATATCTGCCGTGTGAAATTCAACGTGCCCTAGATGGGTGGATACTGTTTGCTTTGGGGGGGAAAGGAAGACTCTAATTCTGCACAACATCCAAACAAAATGTTATTGCGTCGAAACCAGAACACCCGACAAACCTAAAACCTTCAACTTTATTTAGGTAACCTTCATATTGCAATTTTACCGCCACCAACCCGTGTGTGTTTCCATAACACAAAAAACGCCGCGTGCCAACCTAACACTCTTTTATATAAATATGCACGGATTAAAGTGGCCTAATCGACGGTGCATTTTCGTGCATTAAACACGTATATAGTACAATATTGTTATAAAGTTATTCATTATAAAACAATGCATTTCTGCAAATGAGAAAGCCCCCCCTATCCCTCACAAACTTCCCCTATACTATAGTGTATGTAGGCACAGGGCCCCTGTCTGTCACAGACCTCAGTACGTGCCAGTTTGACATAAACACAGGCTGCGGTTGTTCCTTAGGACTCCGTGTTCTCGCGAATGACGGTGAAAAAGAGGCACGTAAAATCAAGCACTGTTTTCACCATCATTTCCGTAAAACACAGGCATACACACGTGCATATGCTGTTTTAAGATTGCAACTTCGACGTAAAAATTACATGAATCGATACTCACATCACTATTTAAATTACGTGATGATTTCTCTTCGGTTGCGGATTTTCTCTTTTTTGCGGTTCGGGTGCAAATCGAGTGAAATATCACCTTAGCTGTTAGACATATTAGATTTCAGTAAATAAGTAAGTTTCTCTGCTTACGTAGCATAGTGGTGCATTTAAACATTACACAGTTAAGACGATTTCTTTACATAGGTGTGTTTTGTAGCTTGTAGTTTTACTACTCTGAACCTAATCGAAACACCATATACGTGGTTGTGTGGCAATATGAACCCTCGCTAAATGGATTTTGGGGTTTTCTTCGTCCATGCAGACCCAGCCACAGCGTATTTTTACTTTCGATCGAAACTGGTGAAGAAAGGGTCCAGCTCCGGACCAAGGAATAAAATGAGATAGGAGTTGAGGTAAACATAATTATGAATTTATACCTGCTTAGAGCTGTGTCTCTTCTCAAAGTACACATTCAAACGCTTCCACATTTTCATTCATTTATATAAAAACACAGAGTTCCCATAAGAATTTATACAGGTTCAACAAAATATTACGCAAACAAGCCCATATAGTCATTGCATGACTATCCAGTCACACCTTATTCTCATGACTTATTAAATGAAAGTTCTTCCATTGTTGTAAAATGCTATTGTAAACTTTGGGATGGTTGTTGAAAAGTTAATGTGCAATGGCTGCCTTAGTCTATCCTTCACATTTTTTCTTTCAACTGCCATATTTTTCATTATTGTTGATGTGTATCAAAAGTTTGCATGACCCTGAAGCGCAGTGGTTTTGGCACCAAGTATCACTTCAGATCAAACCATAGCAGCCAAGTACCACATGGGTGAAAAAAAAAATCACGGTAAACTGAATCATGGTAACAAATTACCATTGACTTCTTTTGTACGACCTGCGGGCGCTATGAGCACCACTGGTGGAAAGCATACCATAGTGAGAAGCCACTGTTGTAGGGGAACTGGAAGGGGTGCACTAGTGCAGAATACTCAATATTTAGTGCAGCTTAAATCACATAGTGTAAAATGCTACACGGAGTGAAAGACATGAAGACGCTTGTGGTTACAGCGCCCCCACCTGGCCGTTTTAAGGTCAGCATCCTTGATCTTGCGATAAGTGGGTCAGATTAAGCACTTTGCCAGAACTGTGGCATGGTGTTACACTGGCCCATACCCAAGGAATGTGGACTCGTCCGCACCCCACAGGACGATGTGTTTAATCTCACCAGAGCCTTTATTCTTACACAAAAAGCCACTGCATGGTCCTTAGGTCAAAGCAACAGGACTGATGCGAAAGCCCAGCGATGTTGTTATAGCATAAAGAGTTTAAAGTTTGCAGCCTTGTCTGATAAAAGGTGAGAAGTCGCCTGATACAGAGGCATGAAGTCCCTTTGCAGGGCCAACGTGTGTCTCAGTGGGTTAGGAATCTGTGGCAGCGATTAAAAGGCTGCCAGATCAAAGCACCGTGAGCCCCTAACCCCCAGGTCCAGAGGCGGCGCGCTCTGGCTGTCCCTGCGCTATGCTCTGACCCCCAAGCTTGCTCTCACACACACACACGTGTCTCGTGGAGCGCAAGGTGAGACAGGCAAGAAGAGAATTTCACCACATGGATCAATTCCCCACACGGACGGAGAAAATCGCTACAGGCCGGAGACATTTCCAGACAGATCTCTGGTGAGTGTTACTGTGCAGCAGCTGTCGATGGTGAGCGTCTGCACCCAAATATAGCTGCTTTTACTTTATATCTACCCTGTCTAACTACCCCTATCATGCAACACAAGCCTTGGGGAAAAAGTGATTATGAGTGTACAATTCTTAAAGCTGGGTAACGACTTCCAGTTCATATTCTTATTAAACGGCATTACAGATGCTCCCCCCGTATCCGCGGGTGACCTACCATGGATGGCGGAAACCCCAGATAACGGCAAACCATCTGCGGACCCCATATATAATGTGATTTTTGTGTACTTACATATAGGATTTTATAAATTATGCACAGTAATACATTACCAACATTAAGTACAGTAATAATAAAGTACATTGTACATTATTATAGGTCTGCAGTATTGTACAATAACTGATGTTTTAGCCCAATTCTCAAGAGACAATAGGTCAATGGAAAAAATATTAGGATGTCGGAGCAGTGAAAATCATGGTTTTTATACCCCTTATCAAAGGAACCAAATTTCTGTATATTCTGTTATTTAGACAGCTGTTCTTAAAACAATGCAGGCAAGTAACCAATTAACAATTTACAGTGGACATGAAAAAGGGGATATTTGGGGTTTTTCTTCAGCTGAAACTGGGACATTAGTCAATATGGTGGGAATTATGAAAAGTTCCAAATCCCAGTCAATTTTGACCCAAAACCGTCAGGTGTCTGCAAGAAAGCTGAAGATGAAGAGAAATTTCAGTTTTCAGCATGATAATGACCCCAAGCACCCATCCAAATCAAAAAGGTTTGCCCCTGACAGAAGCCGGACCTGAATCCAACTGGAAATCTGTGGGGTGACCTGAAGAGAGATGAATAAGAGATGCCCCCAGAATCTGACAGATCGGAGCACTTTTGCAAGGAAGAGTGGGCAAATACTGCCAAGTCAAGATGCTGCATGCTGATAGATTCCTACCCAAGAAGACTGAATGCTGTAATTAAATCATAAGGTGCTTCAACAAAGTATTAGTTTAAGGTTGTACTCAGCTTATTGTATGTGTTTTATTTTTTATATTTTCCCCCTAACATATTTGTTCGTTTTTCAATTGAACTGTACAGGTTATAGGTCACATCAAAGGTGGGTAAAATTTTGAAATCACAAAAACCAGGCATTTTAACAGGGGTGTATATCATATGTTTCATTCCCACTGTAAACCTCTGTGCCTGTGATCTGAAGGTTGCTGGTTTGAGCCTGGCCTCAGCGTGTCTGTGGGTCCATTAGCAAGGCCCTAGTGAATTAGAACAATATAAAGATGAGCACCTGGCGACATCTGCTGGATCAATATTGCAAGTGCATGGGAATTTAATTTAATAACAATGACACTTAATTAATCCCCATGGAGAAATTCTCCTTCTGCCTACCCCATCTTGCTCTCTGTGACACGTAGGTAAGTGACAGCGAAGGGCAGTCACCTGCAGCAGCACCCATGGAGCTGGGGGTTATGGGTCTTGCTGACAGGCCTACAGACTTGGATAGTCTGCTAAGGACAGGCTCAAACCAGTGACCTTCTGATGACAAGCAGAGGCTTAGCCCACTCAGCCACACACAAAAAAAAAACATGAGTATAGCAGAACAGATGAATTGGTACCGGAGATGTGGCTGAGTGTGGTCACTACCGGGTTAAGATGTAATAATTAATGTCGAGGCCAATAAAAGGGCATGTTTCAGCCAGAATTGGAGACAGAGTTGGAAAATGAACTGGAGATCAAAACTGAAATGCAGAGAGGGGGCCGTGAAATGACCCAAAAAAATTACGCATGCTGCACAGTTTTACAAATGCTTAACAAGTGCATCGTCACACCCCCCACAGTAACAGATCAACAAACCTGAGGAAACACGTACGATCCATGCACCATTGTATGACAGCAACTCTCTGAGCTTGATTTCAACCGAGCCAACAATGTTTACCGACATAAAGCATGTGAGAGTTTGAAGCAACAGTCACCGGGTCAAGTTACCTGTACAAGGCTCTGGAGAAGCCTTTGCCTTTGGTAACAAACACATGCAACAGGAAACTGAGTCAGTCTCTACTGAAGAACTGAATCATAGACAGGAAGTGCAATGTATTTGGAAATGTTGTCCTTTCGGCAGGCTATTAATGGGTGCGTGTTTGTTAAAAAGCTAGATAACTAAGTTAGCTACCTTCTTGAAATACCGTGAGAAAATTGCCAACTCAGAGTGCACCGCAGACAACACAACCCAACAAGCTGACGCTACGTTAGTTAGCTCGCGCTCAGCCAGACAGCCAATCAAGTCGATTTGCGACAATTTGGAAACGCAGGCTAGGTCTTAGCGAATTATAATGAGCTGAATTAGGTATTAGCATTTTAAATTGAAATAATAAAAAATCAATAATAAAAATCAGGCCTTAATCTTCAGAGGGGCGGGGTAGTCCATCTGAGGGGGACCCCTTTCACCCCCCTTGGTGCCGGGACTGATTGGAAACATCTGGTTTGAAAGACTGATTACTTAGGTTCTTGTCTTGGTTTTGTCTAACAAAACCAAGAAATCAAACAAAAAGCCAGTTTCTACCAGTGTGTAGGTAAATTCCAGCTTGTGATAATAAATTAAATATCCTGGAAAGTGTTAAGTTAAAGCTTGGGATAAATACGTCATAGGGTAATTATGCATGATTCCAGTTGCTATAATGACATTTATACCTGTTCTATAGATTCTGTCCAGAAGACGACGTTCAGTTCAGAAAGCTGCACGTTTTTCCCCCCCCATCATACAGTATGTGTGATAACCTATAGTTATGTTGATATTTGTTGTATAGCTGATTTTTTCCATATTTGAAAGATATTATGAACGGAAACAGTCACACACAAGAATCATGCATGTATCTGGGCAAACATGTGACTGATCCTGACCAGTCTTGATGTTGTGCGCTCAGGAAACAGGCTGCATTCAAACTCTTTGAAGAAATAAATATAGGATTAAAAATGTGCTATGCAACCTGCAAGGACTTAAAACATGTCTGTAAGGTGACTATTAGGTTTTAAGGATTGATGCACATATGTAGATCGTGAAATGTGAGTGGAGTAAGCAAATTACACAGGTTAACCTGCGCGTGCCAAGCAGCCATCAGCTCTCCAGCGGTAATTTAGGAAGCTGCCAGATTTGATCGGGATGCTCTCTAAGGTGTTACTATCTCCAGCACAGCCTGCATAGGATGCATCCAGAACAACCGGAGCACACGGCAGGGCAGCCATCAGTTTAATACAGCTTCCCTAAATTTCAAAGTGTGGTAGGTTCGCTCATCAATTTTCGTTACGTTTCAGTTAAAACTTCCTGGACTTGAAAGGAGAGAGAGAGAAAAAAAAAAAAAAAAAAACAGCCCAAACCAGGATGACAGTATCAATGAAGAAACCTAGACGGCTGGAGATCCGAACCCTCACTGGGTCCCCATCAGAAACCAGTCCGCACCAGTTAAGACAGGCGTCCACAGTACAGATCAGCGATGAGCCAGCTCAGCTAAAGCACTGCCTTCCCCATCACCATGGATCTGCGTATGGAAATCCAGGAGGCCGCAGTCAGCCCCGCCCCCCAGGGGCGGAGCCCAGGGGCGCCCCAGAAACACGCAGCACTCGGGCTGTAAACTGCTCCATCCTTTATTAAACATAGCTTGCAAGAGATAAATATTACAAAGTTATTTCCTCCAAAATTAGCTTATTTTTTCAGTCAATGCATAATCGTTATTAATCAACTGGCAGTATTCAAACAGCAATTTTTTTTTCTTGTCATTTTCTCTTTTTAAAGACAGTTAAATATCAAGGATGTGCAAAAGGTTTGGATTAATGTTCAGAATAAAAACTAAAAACATAAACCTTTATTTTACCTGAAAAAAAATAAAGAATAAAAACACAGATATAATTGAGCCATGCTTCTCTCCATGTCAATCCTGATTTCCCCGGAGATCCTCCGACCTCTGACCTCTGACCTCAGCAATCCAGCATCTCCCTCATTTTTCACCATCAAAGTTTAAGTGACTTTGCTGGGCAATGCAAATCATTTCAGGAAAGATAAAACATACAAATGTACATTTAACTAGACATTTTTGGGAACCCAGCCCAACCCCCCACCCCAAACCCACCCCCCCCTATAGCATTCGCAACGAAAATCACCACCTCTGCAGAAAAAAGTTAGAAATATAATTAATCACCCAGCTCACCTGGGCAAAATTTTAAAAGGTAGAAAAAGGACAAGTCGGCACATTAAAGTTCTGTAGGAGAGCTTTCAGCGTCGTCCGGACGACAGCTCCAGTAAGTACCATCGATAAATCGTAAGAAATGACAGACTGTGGGGAATGAAAGCAATCTTCCTCTCCAATGTATAAATAAATCTACATATCTGTCCAGCTATTGAAGAGGGAGAGGATTTAACACCGTTCAGAAAACGACTACATTACATCAAAGACTGGGGGAAAAAAAAAAAAGAAATTTCATATTTATGGCGTTTCTAAGGAAATCCTTATTGTAATCTTTGATTTTTAAGAAAATTTCTTCCCCAGAAAATGTTTCTAGTCAGAAATATTTCTGTACAATAAAAGAAAAACAAACAAGTACAGTACAAAATACCTCTTAACTAGGTTTTTACCCTCTGAGACTGAGTGGATAAAAAAAATATGTAATAAAAAATAAACACACACAACACAGGACTGGTGGGGGGGTCCACATGCATGGAGGCGCCCCCAACCCTCCCATGGAAAGTACGAGTGCTTTAGGTTCTGTTCATAAACACCCACAGAGGACTAATACGCTGTTAGTCCTCAGATGAGCCCTTTCGATGCAGAATTAAAGAAAACCGCCTTTTCCCTGACCGCAGCCAACACAAATTAATAATAATAAAAACACGAAAAATAAGAGAAAGACTGAGTGCTATTTCTACAAATACTTAGTACACATATTTCCTCCTGAAATGGAGTTAAACCTTTCATGAGGGTAACAATCAGTTTTCCGACATGATTATACTACAAAAATAAAGAAGAGGATGGTAAGAGTTTGACAGATTTAAAAAAAGAATTTCAAAAACTGTAATCTCACACGTTTTGCACATTGGAGTACACAATGATACACAGTGGTCACAAAACAAAATTACAAGCGTCACAATATTCATGGCTTTTGTGTTCGTTTTCTACACAATATACAACCATTTTAATTCATTTTTTTAATCCAAAGAGAAAAAAAAGCTTATTTACAATAATTATTACTTCTGGCCTAGCAAATATTGTGTTATTTCATAGTTCATACAGTTTTTTTCATCTTGCTTTATTACAAATAAAAAGTTTAGATGAAAGGAAAAAAAAGCAAAAGAATAGAAAAAGAAAAATGTAGAAACAGGAATTAAAAATCTGCACTGATTGTTAGTTACATGTATGCAGTGTAGCTGGTAAGAGACAGAAAGTTAGGAGGGAAGTTCTCACTCTCTCTCTCTCTCTCACACACACACACACACACACACACACACACACACACACTATATGAAAGGGCAGTACCTTCCCACACTGAGAATTCAAAACAAGACCTTAATAAAACCATATTGCAATCTCACCCTCCCAGCTAGAGAAGAGGGATTCATTTATATGCAATAAATAAACAGAGAGAATCTCCTTTGAGTGTAAACTTCCCTAATACTCCATATTGCACCAGCAGATCAAATTTGCCCACAAGCAGACAGAGTCGGGCTTTGCCTCGTTCAGCGGGGCCCGCGACACACTGTAACGTGCCAGTGGCTCTGCAAAGCCGTGATACATCAACACTGATTAAATGCGGGACAGACTTTAGAATTGTCAATCAGAGGCTGAGCCAATCAGATCGGCTCATTGTGGTGCTCCTGGGGCGTGGCTCTCAGGTCATTAGCCAGTATTTTCAGTCCATAGGGTTGGGCGTGTTAAATTAAGGAATTCCACCTGACCTTGTGATACTGAGTCCATATAGAAAGCAACAAAAAAACAGAACAAGGATAACAGATCTGGAAACAGGAGGGTCTGCAGGACAATGAGCAGCCTGCCCACTTCAGTACGAGTCAGAGCTGCTCTGGGATTCGTGGCTTTTGCCCCATGATCAGCTAAAAACATCCAGCTTCCACTGCCTGTCAAGAGCTCTGCTACATTTTTAAAAACAGTCACCAGACGCTGGGGATCAATTGCTCTGGTGCAGAAGATATTCAATCAAAAGCAGAGGACAGACACAATCTTCCTCAACTTGGCTATTTTAACCCTCCCTAATCTCTCCGAACTGAGACAGGAGATGCGGAGAGCCATGTTGCTCTATCCTAAATAATAACACGCTCAGAACTGCTCCTTCTCAGACTGAATCATAACCGGGGTCATGACCTGCACACGGGGGCGCCCCCTGCAGGTACGTGAAGAAATGGCCTCATGTTAAATGTTACAGGCAGATTTATAGGAGACCAGAAGAAGAAAAAGCTAACAAAAAAAATCCCAAAGGCAACATTATTCATACCAAACAAGTAACTGTTTCCAAAACCTGCCAAAGATGACAACCAGGTACCACCCAGAGATCTGCACACATGCCCGCTCCTCCCTCAGCGACCTCCAGCACACGTAAAGTTCCTACCGCTAAACTCAAAGTGCTCCTAGGAAATGAGGCTTTCCTGCTGTGTTATCACAACACAATGATTGATCCGCATCTAGTTGCTATAGATACAGTATAGTAATCTTACTATATGTCGATCTAGCCATCATATATTATCCATATAGATATCCAATAGTTTTCTGTTATTAATTTTTAAAATAAAAAAGAAATTATTATCGTCTCCCTGGAAAGTACCTCTTAGATACTCAGCCAGACGTAGCGGAGACGCCGTGAAAGCGAAAACTCCTCGATCCATTCCGAGCTTAGAGCTGGAAACCAGCACAGCACCCGAGCCGAATCCCATTCCAGTCTCAGCTGCGGCAGGGTGCGATGTGGGGGGGGGGGGGGGGGG